CTCCATTTCCAGCGTACCAAACGAGGCATTAATCGTTATATCTGTAGAGTTTTATTAACTCATATGATAATATGATAATCTTAGAAGTCTACGGAGATTTAAAAATCTAACATGACTAAAAGATATATTGGTAAATGTGATTATAATTTAACTACATTAATTTGTTTAATTAATTTTCTAAATTGTGTATTATATGATTATTTATAAAAATTATTTATTTATTATAAAAATTAAAAATCACTACATCTATGAGGAATTATTATCCCACATGATGATGTGATTAATTTAAGCCTCTATGAAGATTCTTGAAATCTCACATGGGACTTAAATAAATTATTAATTTGGATTATAGAAAAGAGAGTTAATTTTAATGATGGGCCTTTAGAACCCATATAAATATTACTTTCATATCTGTGAAACCTTATTGATTTACACGATATGTGATTATTCTAAATATATGTAGAGATTCAAAATCTCTCACAATAAAAGGATTAAATAATATTTACTTTAAATATATTTTAACGCGTAATTATATAACGCATATTTTTAAATATAAAAATTTTAATCATTATATTTGTGAAGCCTTATTGACTCACGCGGTAGTACAATTATCTTAAAGGTCTATGGAGTTTCAAAAATCTCACGTGACTAAACGATCTAATTAGAAAATGTGATTATAATTCAAAATTATTAACTTAATGAATTAATATTATAAAAATGTTTATCATTTTATTTACAAAAATTCATTTATTTATTTACAATTCAAATTATGAATCACGATATCTATAAAGATTTATTATCCTACACGATAAGACAATTAATTTAGTTCTTTACGAATATTCTTGAAATCTCACGTGAGACTTAAATATTTATTATAAAAAAAAATTAATTTTAATAGTGGGCCTTTGGAACCCACATAAATACCTACAAGATTGATCTTTATATTTGCAAAATCTTATTGATTTACATGGTATGAAATCATTTTAAATGCCTACAAGATTCTTAAAATCTCACACGACAAATAAATAACTGAAATATTTACATTTGTAATCGGTGCATAATATTATGGTTGACTAAATAATTTATGCAATAAAGGAAATGGAAAGAATAGAGAAATAAATTACTTTGATAATTCACTATTCTTTCGATTTGAGGATATATTCAAAAAAAATCCAAAATCAGTAGCCAAAAAGAAATTATTTAAAAGCTTTCTTTCAGACTAGAAATAACCAAGAATGCAATCAACACATGATACATATTTTACAAATTAGGGGGAAAAGAAAAAGATCAAGTATAGTGATACAACTTGAAATCTAGATTAAGAACATGAGAACATCTAACTCAAAAACACAGCAGTGTAACTATTATTCAGAAATTCTTTTTCTTCGTAAATGGAGATCGTATTTTCACTTGCAAGTTTTAAACAAATTCAACATATCAAACAAACTTTTAGCAAGATCATAGCCATGATAGACACGGCTCCAAGCCACAACCAATCCAACAAATTATCAACAATATTATCATAGGATTTTTTTTCAGACATATAAAACATTTGATTCCTGAATCTTTAATGCCTAAACATATATCTAGATCAGTCCGTACTCTCAATATCTATCTATATATATATATATATGCATGTGTGTTTATCAATGAATCAATATTAAGGGAGATGACTTTAAATATTACCTGATTTAAGCAATGTTTTGTTCTTCTTCTACTCTGGGCTAGATTGAACTATTCTAAAAGCTTCCTATACATAATGCTCAGGCACACTCTTCTATCTCGTCCTGTCTTTGTTCAGATCTTGCTCAAACACTGTCCAACTCTTTCTTTTTCCATTTTTCTCTTATCTGTTTTTCCCTTTTTGGAATCCTTCTAGTTTTCTCATTTTTCTTCCTTCTTTTTCGTTCGAATTTCTTTCTCGTTGTCAACATCCTCGTCTAAGTCTTCCTCATCTTGACTTCTTCCACATGGCCATTCATGGATTTCTTTCACCTATTGACATAGAACAGGTACCCTATCTGCTTTCGCCACCTAAGCAGCTCACGTGATTTCCCATGCTCTATCATCCTCTTCTTGGAGTCCTTGTTGGGGATCATTGAGCTGAGATGGTTTAAGACACATTTCAGTTATTTAAAGTTACCTCAGATACTGTGTTCTTCTCCCATGATGCTACCTCATTCCCTTTAAATTTGATCGATATGAATGTCTTTTTAGGAATAGAAGAGGAATGGTAATAGTGGTTGTGAGAGTGAGGATGAGTGAAGAGAGAAAGAAAAGGAAAGAGGCTTTGGATAGAAGAAAAGGTGTGTGGCTTGGTGTGAAAGGAAGCAAAGTGGCCCTGTTTTTTTGCTAACATGAGGAGTTTGTCATTCAAACACAAGGGACACACACTCACCACCCTCTGTTTTGGGTGAAAATAGTAGCAGTAGCTTTCCTCTCTCAGTCTCATGCTCTCTCAATGCTCTCTCTTTCTCAGTCTCTTTCTCCCTCAGTGTTGCACTTCTCTCTTCTTTGTCTTTGGCTCTCTCCCTCTCTTTTAGTTTCTCTTCCCTCTCTTTTTTTTGTGCTCTGTTTTTCGTCCAATTTCCCTTCCTCAGTTTTTCTCTCATTCTTCTTACTACTGCATTTGTGCCTATGCTCTCCTCCTTTTTTTTCTCATCCTCCTTTACCATTTTCATCTAATTTTCATGCCCTTTATTGCTGAAACTCAATTTTTCTCTCCTACTCGTAGTCTCTTCCTCTCAGTTTTCTTGTCTTGATGCTCTATTTTTGCTTCCGGTTTTCTTACTGTCTTCCTCTTCTCTTCGTCTTGATTTTCTCTCTTCTTTTTCATCTGGTTTTTTCTTCTGTGCTTTATCATTAAATCTTCCCTCTTGCTATACACATCTCTTTCCTCCTTTTCTTCCTTCCACTTACGTGCATGCTGCATTTTTGCTCTACTTTTGCTTTTTTCTGTAGCGTGCATCTCTGTCTTTTCTTCAGCATGTACATATGGTCTTTTCTATGTTTGTTGTGTTCTACTTCTCTTACGCTGGTGTTTTCTCTTTGCCTACGAAAAGTCTATGTGTGTGCACATCATGGTTGCTTGCTACTCCTTTTGCTATGTTTTTTACTCTTTAGTTTTTCTGCTCGGGTGAGTATGTATCCTTGCATGGCTATCTGTTCTTCTCAATCACATATGAGTCTTCTTTTTGTTTTAGGTTCCTCCTTCTCTACTTTGTGTCTGCTTGTCTAATCTCCAGAAGCTTTTCCCCTTTTTTTATGTTTCTGGCTTTCTTTTTTATGTATGTTTCGTGCGTGTATGTCCAGCATTTGTTGTTTTTTTAGCCATTCTTTTTAATGCCTTTTTTATTAATTAGATTAAGGGAGAGAAAGAAAAGTTTAATTTTAATATATATATATATATATATAATGGAAAACAAAAGTGGCACAGAAACTGAATGAAAAAATTGCACTCTTGTTTATTTTTCAACTTGGCTTCTTAATACACTAGATTTATGGCCTATTTATACTGGAGTCATGGCCAAATGAAAACAGAAATGAAACAACAGAATTAAAACGGGGGTTTCACAGGTTACAAATAAGTTTTGAATGCTTTTAAATGGAGAACGTTTCAGCATCTTCATCAGCTTTCGTTTTCTATCGTTTTCTCACCAAGAAATTTCTGCCAGATCATTACCACCAGGATAATTTTATCCAGTTGTAAAATCTTCGACAGAGATCTTTATTTGTAGAAGAATATACTAGAGAGTTTGAACAACTCATGATGAAGTGTGATATTCAGGAGAAAGAGGAGCAAACAATAGCCCGGTACCTTGCAGGCTTAAACATAGATATCAGTCATTCAATCCAGCTTCAACAATATTGGACCTTGGATGATGTCATCTATCTAGCCCTGCGTGTTGAGAAACAGATGCCTAAGAGGTCTACTTTCTAGCCTTCGTCCTCTAGGGGTTATCCAGAAGGCCGTAAGGCAGAATTTCAGTAGACTAACTCCTCAAGCAAGCCACAACCTACTGCTATGCACAAACCACCATCTAATGCTACCAAGGAATCTGGTTCTAAAGTAATCAAATGCTTTAAATGTCAAGGATTTGGCCACATTACTGCGGACTGTCCTACTCAAAGGGTTGTCACCATTCGAGAAGGATCAGGGTATGAAGCGCTTGAAGAAGATGAGGAGGATGTTGAGTTTTACGGCACTGATCCCGTATATGATGAGGAGGTCACACCTGCTGATTAAGGAGAAGCATTGGTGCATAGATGAAGTCTGCATACAACAGTAGTCAAAGAAGAACCTTGGCTACGACGCAACATTTTTCACACTTGTTGCATAACCCAAGGAAAAGTTTGTAATGTCATCATTGACAGTGGAAGCTGTGAAAATGTAGTATCTGACTACATGGTAGAGAAATTGAAATTGCCAACACAAGATCATCCGCAACCTTACAAGCTTCACTGGCTCAATAAAGGGAATGAGGTAAAAGTTTCTAAACAATACCTTGTGACCTTTTCTATTGGGAATCGATATTGTGATGAAGTTTTATGTGATGTTGTTCCCATAGATGCATGCCACCTTCTCTTGGGGAGGCCATGGCAATATGACCTACATGCTATACACAACGAGCGAGCAAACACTTATTCTTTTACGAAAGATGGTGTCAAGTTCACACTAGCGCCTCTACTACCCAGTGAGATTAGCCAATCTTCAAGGGAATCTAATGTCTCTAAGCCGTTAGTGTCTTTGTTGACTAAGGAGGAATTCAAGGTGTCGAAATCTGAAGCCCAAATGATAAGCTTTATTTTGGTGCTTGAGGTGAACGACGAGACAGCCAATCCACTTAGAGTCATTCTGCTATTATTTAAATTTCCAGATGTAATATCTGATGAGATACCATTTGGGTTGCCTCCCATGTGAGACATACAGCACGCCATTGACTTCGTTCCAAGAGCAGTCATTCCTAACAAGCCTGCTTATAGGATGAGTCCTTAGGAACATGCCGAAGTCCGAACGGCAAGTTGAAGAGTTGTTAAAGAAAGGGTTGGTTCGAGAAAGTATTAGCCCTTGTACTATACCTGTTCTTCTAGTACCTAAGAAGGATGGAAGTTGGAGAATGTGCATTGACTGTCGAGCCATCAACAAGATCACTATTAAGTATCAGTTTTCGATACCTTGGCTTGATGATATGCTAGACCAGTTGCATGGTGCCACTACTTTCTCTAAAATTGACCTTCATAGTGGGTACCATCAAATCAGAATTCGGCCAGGAGATGAGTGGAAGACCACTTTCAAGACCAAAGATGGCTTATATGAGTGGAATGTGATGCCTTTTGGGTTAACAAATGCCCCTAGCATATTTATGCACTTGATGAATCAGGTATTGAGACCCTTCATTGGTAAATTTATTGTTGTGTACTTTGATGATATTCTTATTTTCAGTAAGAATCAAGAGGAGCATTTAGATCATTTGCAGTAAGTTTTGCAAGCCTTGTGTGAACAGAAGCTTTATGCAAATCTCAAGAAGTGCACCTTCCTTACCAGCAAAGTTGTGTTCTTAGGTTACATCATTACCACAGAGGGTGTTCACATTGATCCAAGCAAAGTTGCAGCCATTGACAACTGGCTAATTTCAAAATCTATCCAGGAGGTTCGAAGCTTCCACAGATTAGCTTCTTTCTATAGGAGGTTCATCCGTAATTTTAGCTCAATTGCTGTACCACTTACAGATTGCATCAAAGGAGAGAAGTTTCAGTGGATTGAGCAAGCTCAAAAAAGCTTTGAGGAGCTTAAGAAGAAGTTGACTGGAGCTCTAGTCCTCGCTCTTCCTAACTTTGACCGAGTGTTTAAAGTTAACTGTGATGCTTCTAACACCAGCATTGGTGCTGTCTTAAGCCAGGAGGGCCATCCCATTGCCTTTTTTAGTGAGAAGCTCAATGATGCCAAGTTTAGATATTCTACCTATGACAAGGAATTCTATGCTATTGTTCGAGCTCTCCAACATTGGAGTCATTATCTCCTGAATAGAGAGTTCATCCTTTTTTCGGATCATGAGGCTCCAAGTATTTGAATTCTTAGCAGAAGATCAGCCGCAGACATGCTTGTTGGAGTGAACTTTTATAGTCTTACCCATTCCTTATCAAACATAAGGCTAGAACTCTGAACTCCGTAGCTGATGCCCTTAGTCGTCGCCATGTGCTACTTACAACACTGCAAACTAAGGTTGTTGGATTTAACCTTGTTAAAGAGTTGTATCAGGAAGATCCTAATTTTTGAGGAGTATGGGAAGCAACTGTAAATCAACCTTTTCACCAGTTCTATAGACACGACGGGTTTTTATTTTGAGCTAAAATCCTCTGTATTCCACAGGGTTCCTTGAAAGAAGCCATAATTTAGGAAGCACATGACGGTGGATTAGCTAGACATTTTAGATGGGATAAAATAGTTGACCTGGTGAAGGAGAACTTTTACTGGCCTCAACTTGAACGGGATGTCAACGGGCATATACAGAGATGCAGAATTTGTCATTTGGCTAAATCCAAGGGTCAGAATACTGGACTATACATGCCTCTGCCAATTCTAGAAGCACCTTGAGAAGATATAACTATGGATTTTATTTTGGGTTTACTACGGACTCAGAGGCAAAAAGATTATATCATGGTAGTTGTGGATCGTTTCTCAAAAATGGCCCATTTCATTTCATGCCAGAAGACCAACGATGCTGTTCAAGTAGCAGATTGTACTTTAAGGAGATTGTGCATCTTCATGGCATTCATAAAACTATTACTTCTAACCGTGATGTGAAGTTTCTTAGCCACTTTTGGCAGATGCTATAGAAGAAGATGGGAATTAAGCTCCAGTTTAGCAGTGCTAGTCATCCCCAGACAAACGGTCAAACTGAGGCTATAAATAGGATTCTCGGTAATCTTCTTCGCAGTTTCATGGGGAAGAATTTGAAGTAGTGGGATCTTATTCTTGCTCAAGTTGAGTTTGCTTATAATAACTCTGTCAATCAAGCAACTAGGAAGTGTCTATTTGAAGTTGTTTATGGCACACATCCCCTTAGTCCACTAGACTTGACCCCTTCACTTGATAAGCAACAATATAGCTCTAATGCTGACCAAAGGGCTAAGGAAATTAAGAAGTTGCATGAGCAAGTTCGCGAGCGAATCTAAAAGCAGAATTTGAGATACAAGGCTCAACGTGACAAGCATTGAAGACAGCAAACTTTTGAGGTAGGAGACTTAGTTTGGATACATTTACAAAAGGAACGGTTTTCTAAACAGCCAAACACCAAGTTGTCCCCAAGAGCTTATGGTTCATTCAAGATAGTGCAAAAGATCAACAACAATGCTTACAAGGTTGAATTACCTGGTTCTTATGGTGTATCTGCCACCTTCAATGTTGTTGATCTATCTCCTTACATTGATCATGATGCCGAATTTGACTCGAGGACGAGTTCTATCGACCTTGGGGAGGATGAAATAGAAAACACAGAAATGAAAGCTGATGAAAATGGCAGAAAACGGAAGCTGATAAAGATGCTAAAACGTTCTCCATTTAAAAGCATTCAAAACTCATTTGTAACCTACAAAACCCCCGTTTTAATTCTGTTATTTCATTTCTATTTTTGTTTAGCCATGACTCTAGTATAAATAGGCCATAGATCCAGTGTATTAAGAAGCCAAGTTGAAAAATAAACAAGAGTGCAATTTTTTCATTCGGTTTCTGTGCCAAAAAGATTTAAAGAGAGAAATTTAAAATAGTTGAGTCTCAAAAAAATTGATTCCCGATATCTTTGAATGGTTGGGATAATTTAGGAGATTTTAAAAAAAATTAAGCAAGATTTTTTGATTTTTTTAAATTATTAATTTTTAAAATATAATCTAAAAAGGATTTTTTTTTTTTGTATTTTTATATTTTTTGATTATTTTAATGAACTAAAAGAAATAATATCCTAACCAACAAAAGATTATCTAAAATAAAATTAAACCCTATCAATTAAATTAATTTTTTTTGAAATATAATCCTAAAAAGGATTAAATTTTTTTTTGCATTTTTATATATTTTTTTGTTATTTGTTGTTATTTTTATTAAATTTAAAAAATGTTCAGATAAAATATAGTGTTCACACACACAATGCTTTCTATTAATCTATGACTCAAATTAAAAAGGTAAAGATTTTAAAAATGATCATTTGAAGGTTTGGCAAGCTAATGTTGATTCCATAAATATTATTGCCAATTGTTGCTTTTCAAGTTCTTCCATCTTTAACAAGATCATAGATATCATTGGTTCTATTTCTCCAAGTCTAATGTGAATGCCTAACTATTTTAACAAGGCTTGATGTTTTCTTTGTTATTTTTATCTTTCTAATCACTTGAATTCATCACTTTGCTTGTTGTTAGCAAAGTAATCTTCTTTCTCATGGTAGCACATTGTATCAGCTTAGATTTCTAGGTACATAATCAACTAAGTAATGGTGTTGTCTTGTAATTTACATGGATTTCAACTACTTGAATTTGACTTTACCCTTCTATCTATGTATTCCTTGAATTTGAAGGCTAGAAGATGATTGTTGAACTTGGTGTTTCTATTTTCCTTCAATTTTTAGTTATATTTTCTATCCCTCTTTTTCTTCTTCATTTTGCATTTCAACCTCTAGATGATTCTTCTTCATTCTTCTTAATAGATTATTCTAGTCTAAGGGGTCATCTGCGTCATACTTTTAAATATTTCTTCATTGAATGTGATGTTTATAGGAGTGACAAATTGATGGTGGAAGATATTCTAAGTTCTCAAGCTTTACTTCTTCTTTATTGGCCATCACATGGTTAGATAAATGTATTTTCTTAACATATGATCTTTTTCTAGTTCAATTGCCTATTCCATATTTGCAAGCTATTTGATTCTCGTAAGGAGAAATATACTTTAACTACTTGACTTCCTTGACCTTCATTCCTCGTGAGCATCACTGAACTTTACTAATGCCACACACATTCAAAAACACCAAATAAAGGACATGAGCATGATCTTTAACTTGTTGGTTGATATAATAACCCATAGCTTGAATTGAACTTGTGAATTTTGTTTTGTTTAATAGGAAACTTGTGGAGATTTAAGAGTGTTATCTTACAATATATAAATGCTAGTGCCTAGGTCTTAGATAGGATCAATAGTTCGGTGAGTAATTGTGCTAGCTGAAACAAAACAAGTTGTATTAAAATTTTAATATAATTGATATTTGTTATACAGGTTGTAACATTAATTGAAAGATTTTTAGCAAATGAACAAAACAAAAAGGATCTTGTTGCATGATGACACATTTTTTATCCTAATTTTGGGTTTGCCTTTTTCGTTTATTAGTTGCTTACTAGTTATAACTATTAAATTTCTTATTATAGGGAACCATAATTCACCATAAAAAAATAATGGAACTTGGAAAAGCATTTAAAAGACATTATGACAGATAACATCGAGTCTAACATAGGAGATTGTGATTTCATGTTTTTCCCTATCGTGTTTGCATCGTATTAGTGGTGCTATGTTTTGGAGCCAAAAACAACCACAATGTATGTTGTAACATCTTAAATTTTTTAATTCTTGCATTAATGCTAATTAAGAAATGAATTAGTAATTTAATATGAGATTAGGATTGTGGATGGTGGAATGTTATACATGAGTAGGAGAATGGCATGGTGAAGCAAAGCCTATGAGCGTGGTGAGGAGTTTCCTCATTGTGCTAGGCACCGCTGCTTGTACAGGAATGCGTTGTAGCATATGGCATAAGATTCTAGTTAATTAGTGCATGTTTAGTTCATTAAATCAAAAGAAGAAGCAAACAAAGAGAGTAAAAGAGTGGAGAAGAAGGAGATCTTTATTAGGGCAAGTTATTTTGGGAGTAAGGATGATGTTTCCAATCTATTACTTATCAAGTAAGTCTCGTACTACCTTAACCTCTGATTCTACCCTATTTTCTCTTAGTTTAAACTACTGAGAAAATGAATTTAAAAGTTTTAAGAAGATTATTTCTTACCCTATAGTAATGGAAAGGTTCTTTAGGTCTATACTAGTACTTTGTAACTAGTTTGAGTTGAAACGATAAAGCTTTAAAGCTATAAGCTCGAGTTAACCTAATTTAGAGAGAGAGTAATAGGAGAAATTTGATAGTGGGGGTGTTAGTACCTAAATTGAATATAGATTTGGGTATAAAATGTGGAAATGGACATGAGTAAAGGGAATGATGATGATTAGGTACTTAATTGATGTAATGGGCACTTTTACTCAATAAAGTAATTGACTCTAGATTCCTTAATTGTGTAGATTCTCATGTGTAATGTGTTAAAATAGTGAGAAGGAGTTTATGTAAAGTTGGGAACACAAGTAAACCTTTTTATCATTCAAAAGGGTTGAGGTAACCATATAGTTTGTTATATTTATTAGCTATTATAACTGTGTATAAGTAAATGTATAATTTTGTATTAGTGGTTTTATGAGCTTTTACGCATGAATTTGAAATATAAATGAGTTTAGCATGAATTGAATTGTGATATAGAAATTTGATGATTTCAGACTTTATTTGACATATATTGGTGTTATGCATATATATATATATATATATAGTACAAAGTGTGGAAAAGCAATGAATTATGTGTGAAAAGCATAATCATAAGGGGGTGAGAGTTTACCCAGGATATATGTACAAATGTGTGTGTGTGTGGAGATGTGAGTAAACAAATTCATATAGTCAGGCTAGCACTATAAGACATCTGGTGTAGCATTATATGGGCTAGTACCATAGGTAATCTAGTAAGCATTATATTAGGATTGTTATCATGGGACATTTAGGAAGTTTGACAACTCCCTAGTGCCCGTTAAGATGTAGTTAAGAGTTAATGGCACCTTTATCACAAGTGTGTGAAATGAGATAAACCATAGTCCATAGGTGGGATAGATTACCTTTGGCTGAGTATGTTTACCACCGAGGGTGTGCTTGGGTCAATGAATGGTTGATCCAATAGAGCATATGATTTCATGTTAGGGAGTTTTGGAGGATTGATAGATAGATGATCATGCTAGTCTGTAAAATATGTGAAAAGGTTTATAGAAAAAAAGCTATATTATGTTGAATATATATATATATATATATAATTCTTTGATTTTGTTACTTTGTCATAGTTATTTATGGTAATAGATGTTAAATGAGCTATATTAGTTACTGAGATTTTGATCTCACTTGTGGTCATTTGCATTTTTCAAGTTCTGACAATAGAGGTGTAAAGGGAAAGGAAATGGGTTGAGTAAAGATTCTTTTGAAAAGCCTATTATAAGTTGGTTTAATGAATTTTGAGTTTAAATAGTAATGATTATGTATATAAGTTGCTATAAGAACCCATACTTGTGCTTAAACCTATGAATGTGCATGTGTGTGTGTGTGTGTGTGTGTGATTTTGAGTTATGTTAACCTTTAGAATTTATGTTATTTCATCCATTTTGGCTCAATTGTATATGTTTTTATTGCCCAAATTAGGAAAATGTGCATTTTAGTTTAGGTTTGTATTCTTGGCTTTAATTTGATATTTTTAGCCTAATTTTATGTTATTTTGGTTATATTTTTTATTATAAGCATTTCTGGAGGCTTTTGGATGAAGAAATCAAGCATAAAATGAATGATTTTTGTTAGCTGCAAAAAAAGTGTAAAACTACCAAAGTCGTCCCAAAGTCATGAATCACCGCTGTTAGAAAAACATTGCATTTCATTTATCAGAAATTGGTTGGCTATAATATATATATGCTGAGAGCTCGACCCAGAACACATTCTTGAGACTTTTATACACATTTGGAGCTTGGGTGTACTAGGGTTTGTGCATTGGAAGTGCTTGAAGCAAGGGAATGGAGTTGTGAAGACATTTGGAGCTCTTTTTCTTTCGTTTTTCTATTCCTCTTCCTTTCCTATCTTGTATTATGAAATGGGTCTACTTATTTGTGTATGTGTGTGTATATATATATATATATATTTATCTAAATTTGAAAACCCTTAGCTCCTCTCATTAGTTTCATAGCTTCGCCCGTGCTCTACCACTCATCTCCCTCTATCACCATCGACCCTATGTAGCTATCACCTCCTTGCTTCACCTCTACCAATATCACAGCTTATTTCCCTCACCTTTCACTGTTGCATCCATCTCTCATCTGCCATTTCCATTTTGACCTACTCACCAACAGCCATTATTCTTCTCGCCATCCGATCATTGTCGTTGGTGTGTACAGTGGTCATCTTCATAAGCTTCATCCTTAAGTAGTTGAGCTAAGATTTCCTTCACTCGTTATCATCTCTCACCTTCATTATTCATCATAGCCCCTTAGCTATCACCTTTATCTCTACACCAAGCTTGTTCAACCCATGGAATTTCTCCCTTCAATCTCCATTGTCATTATCCCTGTCCTGGATTGCTTCTTCACTCTAGCTGCTATTGGTTTTAAATCACTGAGCTATAACTATCATCATTGCACCTTTGTCGTTGAGCTTGGAGTCTTCCATCTTCATCATATGCAACCTCTATTTAACTGTCAACATCGAGCTCCAAGTTCCATTCTAACTGCTCACAGGTTTATAACCTTTCCTCTTTGTTTTGCCTATTTTGCTCTGATCCTGTCAGTCTCATGAAAATATAAGGATGCCAAAATATTGAACCATTATTTTCCTTTGATTTGTTGCTAGAACTGAATGCAAATGTACTGTGAGCTTGCAAGAATGCAATGTTGTTTTGAGGATTATTTGTACTGTCATTTTGCTATTGGCTTTGCTGCCTTTTATCTGACTGTGATGCTCAAAATTTGACCCTTGAGCTCATAGCTTAAATCCTGTATTTAGAGTACTCAAGGGATAATACTATTGTTAGTTTATGGGTCTGGTAATTTTCTTGTTAAAGGATTGAATTTTGATTGATATAGAGTAGAATTTCTTAATAGGATATTTTCAATATATTTGATTGATATCATTGAATTTGGTTGTTGGAAGATTCAAATTGCTTGAGGCATGTTTGTAGGTTCTATAATTTGAATTGGCAAGAATTATGTAATTGTGCTGCTGTCTGGTTCTAATTCTAGATAGTAAGGAAGTATGTTGTGTTGAATTTTAAGCTCTGTTACTGGCATGTTTCTCTTAGAATTTTATGGTATGATTGGTTATTCACAGATGATAATTCCATTTTTGGCATACTCTGGAGGATTGAAAAAGTGATATTGTTGGCATGCTTGTACAAGTTGAATTTACTGAGCATGAATGGGCTATATTTCTATGGTTGAATGCTCTCATTATTAAACTTAAGCTCATAGTTGTAATCAATATTTAGCACTCATTATCATGCCTTCTAATTTTGGACTTAGTATTACTCCTCATGTTTTGTACCCTTTATTAAGTTCAAATCTATGTATATGGAAGCTAGACCTTATAACATGTTGTAAAAGTGTTGTTTTGTGCTAGCTTCATTGAATCTTGTTTGTTTTAGTTTGAACTTTTGTCCTTATTTGTGCTGATTATTGCTTACTAGTGTTGCATTGTGCACTTTTTTGAAGGCCATGGGTAAGAAAAGTGTCCCACTTTCTAAAAAAGCCAAGGTCACTAAGGTTGGTGAAGTTCCAAGGGATCGGGATGGGATAAAACCCGACTTGCCACAGCTACAATTTATAATTATTTTGATCAAAATTTGAAGGAGAGAAAAATAGTCTAAGAAAGACACTTCCCTTTAAGATGGTTTGAACAATTTTACAATGATTTGCATGATGTCTATCATGCCACTACCCTCATTCATGAACGGAGCCATACCTCTCAGCCGCTTGTTGAAGCTTACTATGCTTATGCTGCTTATAAAGATACCTTGCAATGTAAGATAAGGGAAAATGGGTAGAGATCACTGAGGACACATTTCGAAAGGTGTACAACCTTTCTCTAATAGAAGAATGCTAATACCATTTACAAGAATGATAGAAATCAATTGCCATTTAATGATGTAGTCCAAGTGTTATGCCTTCCTGACAAAAGCATTTAGCAACATGACACTTATAGCAATCATAAGAGAATTTTGTGCTGTAATTTGAATAGGACAACTCGTATATAGTGATACTTCTTAGCATCTAATGTTATCCCAATGACACATATGAGCGATATGATTATTGATCAAGCTGCCCTTTTGTATACTTTGATGATGAGTCAACCTGTTGACTTTCTAAAGATCATGTTTGAGTACAAGCAAAAGTTTCTTAGAAGCAGATATTGCAAGCAGGCATTTGGATTCCCATACTTGATTACTCAAATGTGCTTAGAAAAGAAAGTTCCCACTTATTCAAAGGATCTTATGCTCCCTCCTTTACCAAAGTTCAATTATAAAGAAATTCAATGTGTTGAGGGACCAAGAGATGTGCCAGATCAAGCTGTGGATAGCAAAGGCATATTGATCTACCTCATGTTGAGCTTTCACTGAGCAACCTGATAGCACTCATCCAGAATATGCATGAGGGCCTCCATAGCCAACTGGATCAGATTGACTTCAGGCTCTACCACATTAAGCTATTCTTGCATCAGAGATTTCAGATGGACTTGCCAAAGGAAGAAGAAGAGGCCAATATTAATGTTGACCAAGACTTAGACATTCATGTTGGCTAGCTTCACCCTTTTTTACTTTACTGCTACTTTTATTTCTATTTTTTTTAATTCTAACTAACTGTTGATTAGCTCTTTTTAGGTAAATATAGTTAGCCAATATCTTTTATGCAAGACTAACTTTGATCTTTTTGTAGTTAATATGTGATACTTTGATTGATCTCTTGCAACTAATTATTCTATGACAACTTATGCACATGCTAGTGTAATTAGTTATATTTTTAGACTACCTGTAGATATATTTCAATTATATTATTACAGGTTTTTAATTTTTTGTGCCTCTCATGTAACTTCTTTTTGGTTGTTAAGTTTTGCATGAGAGAGGGCCCTTATTTTACCTTTTTAATAGTATGGACACTATTCAATTTAAGTTTGAGAATGAGGGTATTATTTTGGTTGATTCGACATGAACTTCAATTTTGAAACTTAGCTATTTACTGTTCCTCTTTTCTGAAATTTGAGCTAGATTAAGAAATTATTTGTTGAAGTGAATATGTGATCTAATGATAAAATGTTACTTAAACTGTATGTTTTATAGGAAGTTATGATCAATATTTTTGCATGCTTAATTTACAGTGTTAAAGCTTATTTTTTGATAATTTGTGAAATTTTCTTTTACACTTTTGAACTAAGCAATGATTTGAATGCCTTTGTTAGAAAATTTTATGGCAAGTTGATGAGCATTTTCTTTCTCAATTGAGAAACTCTAGAACCTATCTTGGAATCTCTTGAGTGTTTTAATCACTTCGCATGATATTAAAATATGATTTAGGCATTCTTTCAAATGCATTTAAGCCTTTCAAGCCTACCTATTGCGTTATTTCCACTTGAACCCCCTTTTGAGCCTTGATTGAAAATCATGTGTATTTTCTTTCTTTTTGAAACCCACATTAGACCCTAGCCTCTACAACTTGAAAAACGATGAACTACCTCACTCTTGAGATAAGTGATAAAAAAAATTTGAGTGCTAGTGGTGAAGATTGGTTTAGTTGTTAAAGAAGGTGTTGTTGTTATAAATTTGGTGTGAGGAATTGCAATGAAGTTTGGAACACTACTAATTGTGCTCCAAAAAAAATGATGAGAAGTTTCAATTTCAATAAATTTAGAGAACAAAGAATAGTATGAGATAAGTTTGGGGAAAGGTATTTGGCTAGCAAGGATGGAATGGTTAGTTTCTCATTGTCATATATCTCAAGTTCTTTGAATTTCATTTATTCTTTTCTTTCTTTCAATTAGCCCAAAACCTTTGGCCACGTGACAAGCTTACAAAATCCCATTTTTTTGGATTATGTGAAGTGATCTTTTAGTGGAGAGAGAAGAAGAGTTTAGGCATATGAAGTACTGATATTAATCTTGTTTCATGCATATTGAGTTGTTACACCCTTGACTTGATAGTCATAGGAAAATCATTCTCTGTTCTCACACACACATATTTCTAAATTGTTGGAAAGCATGGTCTTAATTTGTGAATTGAGCATTCCTTTATATTGCAATACTATCCTCTTTGATATAGATTTAGAGAAACTAATGAGGTTATTTTCATGCATGCTTAGTAGATGAATAATTGATCAATCTAGTTGTTTTATTGTTTGTTTTACTCGAGAATGAGTAAAAATCTAAGTTCGGGGGTGTGTTAACCTCTAGAATTTTATATTATTTCATCACATTTCCTTAGATTCTAATTCATTTTGGCTCAGTTGGATATGTTTTTATTGTCCAAATTAAGAAAATGTATATTTTATTTTGGGTTTCTATTCTTGGCTTTGATTTGATATTTTTAGCCTAATTTCATATTCTTTTGATTATAATTTTGATTAGAAGCATTTATGGAGGCTTTTGGATGAACAAATCAAGCACAAAATGAATGATTTTCGTTAGCTACAAAAACAATACAAAATTGCTAAAGTCGCCCCAAAGTCGTGACTTTCGTTCGTGACTTTTAGACTCAGAATGCATTTATCAGAAATTCATTGGTTATGACATATATATGCTGAGAGCTCGACCCAGAACGCATTCTTGAGACTTTTAGACACATTTGGAGCTTGGTGTGCTAGGATTTGGGCATTGAAAGTGCTTTGAAGTAAGGGAATGGAGTTTTGATGACATTTGGAGATCTTTTTCTTTGGTTTTTCTATTACCCTTTCCTATCTTGTATTCTGAAATGGGTTAACTTATTTAGTATATTTGTAACTTGTGGATGATTATGAGTAGCTAAACTCTTTGTTCTAGGATTATTTGGAACCCTTGTATAGATTAACACTATGTTCCTCCTCTCTTTTTGTGATTAATGATATAATATATATATATATATATATATATGCTTATTTTACTCTTTCCTTAATGCTTCTAAGTGATTGGCCACCATTTAGATGTTGGTTCACTTAATTGATGCTTGAGAGGGCTAGGTTAAGCATAGAACTTGGGTAAAATAATGCAAGAACTTGATATTTGCATGTTGAATGGATGGTTTTTCTAGTAAGATAGAGATATACTTGCTAGCCTTGCATAGCCACATTAGGGTTAGTGTCTAAATTTAAGTTTTATTAATTGTAACAAGAGATTGGGAAATTAATTCAACTAAACACTTGTTCATGACTTGAGAGAGCTTGTCTAAGTATTTTTAAAACCTTAGGTTATCACTTATTTTCATTAAAAGCATTTATGAAAGGAGGTAAGTTTGGTGTTAAGAAATGCAAGGGGGATAAATAATCCTAGGTCCCAATTTATGTTTGAAGTTTATGACTCAATCACTTTTCTTTATTTTCAGTGTTCGTTTGATTTGCAAAATCATTTTCACCTAACTATATGCAGCTCAACTTGATCGAATTTGCTTAATTCTTTTGCTTGATCATTATTTTTAAATAAATCCTAGAGGGAACAATACTTTACTCATTTTATATTATTTGTTATGACCTATGTACTTGCAGAGAGCAACAAGTTCTAGCCTAATGAACTTGTGTATCAGTGTGTAAGTGATAAAATGACAATGTGGGCTAGTGGATGTGTTTATGTGTGTTTGGAAATTCAATACATGTGTATTGTGGACTTTGGCCTAGTGTGATAATGAAAATGAGAGAAAGAAATGAAATTATGCCTAAAAGCATGTGATGGATAGTTTATAGGCCAAAAGTGTATTTGTGTGTTATCATGCATATAAAAATGTTGTTTGTCTATTTGAATGTGGTCAAGACCTTAAAAATGACAAATGACTTTATGGTTTCAAATGGTGATGCTCAAGTGGCAAATTTTGACATAAAACGGTTAAAATACACTTGGATGTTCAATTTTTAAATGAAGTATCATATTAAAAAAAACTAGTTTCATTGGTTAGAATATGAAACAAGCTTCATATGGGCATTTAAATCACCCCAATCGGACATCGGATGAGAAAATGGCGCATGTCTGAAGCTCGTATCAAATTTTGCAATTTGACGATAGATTCTGGTATGTGCACCACGACGCATGTGTCAACGAGGGATAACATGTTGTGGCGCATGGTATAGAGCATGGTGCTTATGCCTCTATACCACATGCCACGGTGCATGGCTCAGTTTTTTGTGTAAATTATGATGTTTTGAGTTATTCTTTGATGTACTTATGCATATTACTTCCGTTATGTAGTGTTTTGCAATTTGAGATTATAAGGAATGGTTTTAGATATTTTATATTGAGATCCCAAAGCTTTCAAGTAAATGATTTCAAAGATTAGTGGATTGTGTGAAAGGTTATATGATAATGTTAGTGAGGGTATTATACATGTGGTGGGTTAAATGATATTTAAGACTTAAAGAATAAGAAGAAGAATAAAAGGAAGTAAAAGAAATTTTTGTTACCAAAAGACAAGGAAAAAATGGCTTACTTCATGGTATGCTCTTTTCGATATAATATGATATACTAATTGGTTGTTAAATATTTCTCGTTTACTTTCTTAGTATTCCTAGAACAACAAGTTTTGTTCAAATAATAATAAAGTTAAACTTAAAATTGTTGATGAAAATTATGACCTAGAAGTCAAAGTCATGCCTATGAAATAGCAACTGACAACATAAGTATTCCCAATTAACATTGGAGTCAACATGTATTGTGTCTATCATTTGCCTAAGAATTGTTCACAAATTTTATCTTGAATTTTTTTTATATATAGCTGATTGTGGTATGTATGTTATCATTTACCTTAGATAGTAGGACAATATTGCAAAAAGGGAATGAGGATGGTCATACCATGCCTCTATTAATAAAGGTCAGTTGAAAAAGTGACAAAAATAAAATCTAGGCATCATAATTTTATTGTTATTTTGTGTTTGTTCATTGACTTACTCTAATTGTATAGGAACAATTGAGAGAAAAATGAGATTTGAACTGTTGTATTGGCTAGTGAGTCATCTAATAATATAAATAATCTCACAAGTGATAACATCTATATCAAAAGCTAGTCATAGAGGAGCAAAAAGATTGAAAGCATAGATTGAACAAATGTGATATGTACTTTGACGAGTGATCTTTGATTATATATAGGATGTAAATTAAAACTTTATATAGGTAAGTGTTTTTTGCTGCTCAATATACATGATATATCAGTTAATCTTAAGCATTTTTTTGTTAAATGTCTAAGTGACTCTCATTTTATTCAGTAGTGGTTTGTCTTGTTTTTCCAAGCGACTTAGGTAAATTTCCAAGTGCAGTGCCTTTGTTTCCATAATGGGGAACAATTTATTCCCAAGTATAGTTCATTATTTTTCCAACTGATATTAGCAATATCCCATGCCATGATAATAATTTCAACAATGTCATCTCTTTACTTTCCAAATGATCTAAATATATATTAAAAAGCATAACACTAGACAAGTGATTAGGTTCATATTCTTGAGTGAAGTTAGTAAATTCCTAAGTCTCTTTCATATATTCATTAGTGACTTTGGAATATTTTAAAAGTAATTTTCTTTCATTTTGGGAAATAATCTAGTCCCAAGTGTGATTCCTTATATTCCAAATTGACATTAGCA